TTTCTGCTTTTGCTACAGAGGAGATTCGGCTGCCTAGTTCTGGGGTGCTGGGCTGTTAGTGCCATTTAATATTCATTCTAATATGTTGAGTTATATCCCCAGCGTCAAGAGCTTGCATGGCTGCCTGCAGCCTCCTGTTTATCCATCTTTAGGGCTCTCAGGTATTTCTCCACTGATAGTTATAAATCCTTCAGAGGGGCGAGGAACGGGTTACTAAAAGAGCGCCAGATCTTCAGCTGGTTAAATTGGTGCAGTTCCATTGAAGTAAATGGACATTATCTTTCTTTACCCTAGACCCCTTTACACCACTGAGACAATGTAAAGGGGACTTAAAGTGGGTGCTGCTGTAACTTGCTCCTACTTTAACACCTCTTTACACCCCCAGAATCCTGTAAAGGGGTCTTAGTCTGACTGAGAAGCTAGTCCAATGGAACTACACCGCTTTACACCAACTGAGGATATGACCCTATTGACTGTTGGCTATTCCTTACAAGATATTGTCATGCCTCTCGATCTTGAGACCTCCCTTTACCCACCTACACAAGCTATTTATAAAACACCCCCTTGGAATATACAGCAGACACAAGCCCCGTGTCTTTCCTATGAAATATCACATTATGTCGTTTGCTTTGTGTTTTGCTGCTAACACAACACAGAGGCATTTGGAAAAGCTAAACATTTAGGCCGGATTTCCAACGCTGTTCAGAGCAAGGCACTGGGTATATTTTATTGTTTGTGTTTTTATGACTGTAGGAGGAATACGGGGGTCCCTAGAGATAAATGTCCCACACAGTGAATTAGTCTCAGGATAAAGTGGAATCCTATAGTCCGTGTCAAACTCAACAGATCAAACTGTGAAATAAATTTCCAACAGCAAAAATATACAGTTCTGGCCCTTTCTTTTAACGGCCTTCCGCCCATTCTTTCGTCCCTTGAAATCTAAAGTAGTGAAGGATTTCATTGAAAATAATGGATCATTTTCCCATTTATGCATGATTCAGGGATTAATAAACTAATCCCATCAAAGGACATCTGCTTATATTGTTCCTTGTCAGTGAAAGTAAATAGACCCTTTTAGTCTTTAGACCTAAACTCCTCTGAGGTTATTGTGCTAGGGGAACCTCCTACAAAACCGTGGCTTTCTATTTCACTCCTGCTGCGACTAACCCTGGAGGGAGAAAAACAAACTTTGCTGGTCCCTGGACATAAAGGTTATTCGCTAGAATGGAGAAGGGTTTTATGGGAGGCTGGGTAAGTTTAGAGACCAATCCTCCCCTAAGGTTAGGACACAAGAGGAGGTTGTGTCCTGGGCAGACCTTTGAGTGTATTGTCCTTCATCTATATAAGATTTCCCCTTTCAGAAGATTGATACGGTCCCTTCGTGCCCCTGTGACTAAAGGCTTGTCCTCTGTCCCCATCAAAAACTGCCTTATTTACGATGGGTTTCTTATCTCTGTGTTTGGGGGTGGGGGAGAAGTAGATTCCTTTACAGCAGAGTCTGATCCAAAGCTTGTTGGAGCCTATCTAGGAATTGCTGCTTTTGAAATATCTTGGAGTCCAGTGGCACCTTGATGCCTCATTGTTCTTGTGGATACAGACTAACACGGCTACCGCCTGATACTTGAAATATCTTAACTTAGTGAGCCAGATCCTTGGCGAGTGTGAACTACTGTCACGATACTGAAGTCAATGCAGGATCTGCCCCATTGTTGTGAATAACTGCAAGCATTCTGTGGTAGGGACTGTGTCCCATTGTGTGCGTAGACAGTACCTACCACAATGAAGTTCCTGTATCAGGGGACTGGAGGACATAAATAATGGACATAAATAACAATGATCATATGAGGTCAAGAGGCTTGGAAAATAAGTGTGTTCTTCTTAGCGGGGAGTGATAATAACAACTTAGCTCTTATGTAGGGTGATTCATCAATAGACCTCAAAGTGCTTTACAAAGGAGGTCTGCCTTACTATTGCTATTTTACAGATGGGGAAACTGAGGCATTGGGCATGGTAGTGACTTGCCCAGTGGTCTATGATGATGCTAATAGCTTGTGCCGCTATGCAGCCTTCTGTGAGGGGATATTAAAGCCCTTAGCAAATATAAATGAATTCACCTTTCCCCTGTGACCTATGTTTGGATCATTTCCATTTTACAAATGGAGTCTCTCTCTCTATTATGTAGTTATACGCCCCCTGGCATGAGCACCTCACAGTCTTTAAAGGACTGACTCTCATAACACCACGGTGAGGCAGGGCAGAGCTATTATCCCCATTGTACAGATGGGGAAACCGAGGCACTGAGCCTCACCAGCTTGTCTAAAGTCACACAGGAAGCCTGTAGCACACTAAGGGCCTGAATGTGGGTTTCCCAAGTCCTAGGCTACCGCCTGAACCCTTAGATCTTCCTTCTCCTCAGACAGAGAGAGAGAGACTGAAACTTGCTCAAGGTAACACAACAAATCTGTGGCAGAATCCAGAAACAACTCCTCCAACCCCCTCTCGCGCTTCTGTGCAGGTGTGATTAAATAAGCCTTGGGCTGTGGCCGTTACGTGCAATTGGAAGTCTCCTTTATTGTACACATTTTATGCATTCTAAGATTCAATTTTACCCGGGAAGTGGAATAAGCAATGTTTTTTTTAAGGCGTCCTCATCATCTACCAAATTTGGGGGTAATGAAGGGATAATGCCTTTGTTGCTTTGGAAAGGTTCCTTGCAGGCTACAGACAAAAACCAGGGAGGTTATAGTCTCAGACAAAGAGAGTTTCAAATAGACTACCAATAATAACACGCATATACTGCTAGTATTAGTTATGATAGCATCTGGAGGCCCAGTCTGAAACCAGGCTTCTATTGTTATATATATAGACCACCTCTGCCCTTAATTACCCCAGGGAAAGCTTGCATCCAAGTTTTAGCCCATCTATAGTCAGCTAAATTCACCCCACTAAGGCTCAGTATCCTTCAGTTCTTGCAGGTCGATATCCAGGTCGATATATACTGTGCCTAAACGTGTGTGAATAAAGAACCCATTGAAAGCAAAGGCTGCTGCTATTGAAGTTGGTGGGAGATTAAAAGGAACTAGAGAGAACTAAATGGTCACAATTGTCCCTACCTCCTATAGCTCAAAGAGGAGAATATTTGAAAATGCAGGTTATCCCGTAAATACACAGATATGGATTTTTTTTTTAAACCAGCGTATTAATATCAGGCCATGTGCATGCAGGCCCCTTTTGATAACACAGACCATTCTCCAGCTGAGCAGTTAACGTCTGACCAAAGCCCGTTGGACTCCATGGCACTTTCCATTGACTTTGGGGGGCCTTGGGATCATGTCCTTAGCTTCTGAGTCCAGTTTGGGGCACTAGGGGAATGCACCTGAGTGACTTTCAGTGGGATTTCGCCTGGTTTAAGGCCCAGATCCTCTGATGTATTTAGGTGCCTGGCTGAATGGGAATTAAGTATCTAAACTTCTGATGATTGGAGCCTAAATCACGTTTGGAAACAGGATCTAGATGCCCAAGTCACTTTGGTGCATTTGGACCTTTTGCCCCTTAGGGCCGTTGGTGGGTGGGATGAGCCCCGTCATGGTTACAAACTGGTATGAAATCGAGAAGTTGGGGAAGAATATGAAGCCACATTTGATCTTAACCCATTTCATATAACCCAGTAAACTCCTCCTTGGTTCCTAAGGAATTCTGTCTACATAGAACCAAGGGCAGCAGCTCATGGCCCCAACTTAGCGAGGTACTTGAATATGTGTCTAGCTTTAAGCGCACCTGCACTCCCATGGGATTACTTTCATGCTCCAAGTTAAGCGTGTGCATAAGGCCCTTACTGAATTAGGGTTTATGTTGTTAAGGGCTGGCCTGTAACATTTCAGTTAACAACATTCATCGATCCAGCTTAAGCTCTCACATGAATTCTCTGGGTGTGGGGTTTTCCTTGCTGCCATCATATAAAGTGATAGTTTAGTTTCAGAGAAACAAATAAAATCTTGCTTCTTGACTGTAAGACTAGTTTTTAACACCTAAAATGCCCAGATAGAAAACAGTAAGATTAAGAGGAACTCTACATCTTAATTAAATTCAGAGAGCTGCACTGATTTCTTATTTAATTATTATTATTTCTGTTTCACATTCTACAGTGAACCGTATTGCATAATATAGGGAGTAGATTTCATATAGCTAAATTTATTTTAAATTCACTTTGGGCCCAATCTTGGAAAGTCTATTGTCTTCAATGTGACCAGTAATGCATTTAGAGTTGATCACATGCACAAATCTTTACAATTTTGGGGCCACAGAAATTTGTCATAAGGGTGTTATAAGCAAGACATGTTTGAATATCCTACACAGTAGCATTACATATGGTAAGCATATAATATAAAGTAATATGTGTATATAAAATGTACACATATTCATATCTAGAATGCATGTGTTTATATCATTTACACACACACACACACACATAGATGAATTTGTGGGTAGGTAGCTTATATGTGTAAATGATATAAACACATGTTCATGTATAAAATCTTCCTGCTAATACACTTGTTAAAAGAGTCTATGACCCTGATCTTGCAGATATCTACCTGTGTGTAATTAAATATGTATGTGGGCTTGTGTATAGTGTATATTTGTGTGTGTGTGTGTATTCATACACACACATACATACTCAGACATCTGATGCTCAATCAGACATATGTGTGTCTTGCTTATAATATACTTGCTAAAAATTCCCATATGTGTAGAAACTGACATAGGTACTCTATGTAAAATGTCTGCATATATTTCTTGTTTACTCTTTTCTCTTTTTTTTTATTATTAATACATAATAAATGGGCTCGATCCTGTAGTTATTTAGATCAATCTCCCAGGAACTGCCTTGACATAGTGCCTTTAAGTAGATGTCAGCATTTCCCTTTAAACAATTAATATTTGTGACTTTAAAAAGTCCAATTTCTTGCAAAGGATCTTTCTGAAAAGATCATTATGGAACTGACCCTGAAGGGGGTGGGGGATGAGCAAGCAGGTTTACAACAATCCTCCTTGAGTTGGAAGAGAACAGTTCTGAGTATAAGATGAGTATGCTCTTTCGGAAAAGCGACAACTTGTGTTGTGAACACGGTTTTCTCCCTTAGCCTGGCCGGCACCGAAGCTGAGAGATGGTTCCTAGAACCGGTGGAAAGTTCTCAGGCGAACTGATCAAATAAGCCCTAAGGAATCTATGTTGAGATCAACTTTAAACAAATATTTTCTTTTTTACTTTTTTTTTCTACTAGTGGTTCTAAAAATCCCATCTCAGGTGAAAGGTTTCGACTTTCAGCGGAGTGTAGCCTTTTGAAAAGCAGGGGTTTTGTTTGTTTGTTTTTTAAAGGACGAAATAAAGGATTTGCAAGAGCATGAACTGGCCGGCAGAAGTGTCGATTCCACTGTGCGGCTTTTAGTTCTTGAACCAAGCTGGGGGCTTGCAACAGCCGCTCCTTTGCCTTGCTTCTTACCACCACCCAGCGTCCTGAGTCTAACCCTGCCTGGAGATTCAGACGGGACGAATAGTTAGAGCAACACATCAGACCCAGAGCCCTGCAGATCTTTGCACCAGAGCTGAAGTGTAACGGTAGCTCTTATTCCACTTTAAAATCCCTGTGGGGGGAGTTAGTCTACATCGCTCAGACCCCGTCTAGATGAATCTAGCCAGGACGGTCTCCCTTCTTTAAGGCTTCCCTGTGTTTGATGTCAAAAGAATTTGTTTCCAGCCTTTCTGAATGTTGCCTCTGGGTAGCTCGAAGCTTGTCTCTCTCACCTCTCCCACCTCGTCTCTCTCCAAACTTCGGGGTTACACATAACCCCACGCACAGGGATATAGTTAGCAAAATCCTTCCACTGCCGTTGTACAAGAGACTCGATGCTTTTGTCGAGTGGAGGGCTAAGGTATAAACTGGAGGGTGGGAGGGGTTAGAAGGGACATTGCACTGAAGTGACTTTCTGCATTTGTGAGCTTCCTTTTAACGGTGGTTTCCGAGGGGCAGCCCCGTCAGTCTGTATAGGCAAAAAGAACAGGGGGACACCTTAGCGCCTAACCTATTTGTTTGAGCATAAGCTTTCGGGAGCTACAGTGAGTATGCATCCGATGAAGTGAGCGGTAGCTCCCGAAAGCTTATGCTGGAAGAAGTGGGCTAATCTCTCAGGTGCCACCAGTCCTCCTGTTCTTTTAAAGAATCTCGCTTGTTGCAAGCGAAGGGGTGTATTTTCTTCGGGGCGCCGCAGCCAGCCTCGGTTTTCTTTTGGGGGAGCTGGCTCGTCTTTCTATAGCATCTTCCTTTTTGTCACCACCGGTTAAAACGTTGACTCTGTTTTCTGATGCGCCTGGAAGACAGACCGAAGAGCTCTTCCCGGCAGAGAGTGATTTCGGTTGGCCGACAACAGGCTGGCTTTAAAATCAAAATAATTGCAAGGCACGGACTGCGTTTTGAATAAAAACCTCATTTCCAGGTGCCACTCTGATAGGGGGGTTGGTTGGTTGGTTGTTTTTAGTCCACAGTATCTTAGTTCCACCATTTTAAAAAACGAAACGTGTGTGTGACTGTAACGTGCATGGCTGCATCAAAATCCACTCAATCTGGAAAAAATCCTGCAAATATTAGAACTTTATTTTTAAAAAACCCCAACACCTCTTCTCTGAAAGTACTTCTTCCCCAGCCAGGTACAAGAATGAACACAGCAGGTGCAGTATTGGAAAACAGAAGAGTGGAACGGCTGGCGACAGCGGTAAGAAATCCTAGTGCAGAAATTATAGCTGGGTGTATGAAACACACAGACCTGGACCCTGGACCCATGATCAGACGACAGAAGCAGATCATTCATCTGTGCTAGGCACTGTGTTATGCAATATGTAATGTGCTATTCCATATACTTAACATGCATAAATATTAGATGCTGTTTCATGTAATATATACAGAATGATGTCTATTGACTATATATTTGGCGTATCTCTAATCGTGTATTGAATACTAGGCACAATATTCCATATTATAATACACAATATCAAATAACACGAAGAAGCTAATATTCTATAATAAATTGCTTGTGTATTTCATAGATACATAGTGCTCATATAATATGTGTCTATAACAGGCATCTAATTTCGATGTATAATATTTAAAAGCTTTTGAAGCTCTTTAGAATATTAAATAGCTAAAAACTATTATGCATAATATATAAATATGCTCTTTGCATTCAGTTACCAAAGGAGAAATTGCTTTTTTCCCCCTATAAACTTAAACTATTGAGGAAGATTTTTTTTTAAAAAAAATATCTCAGCAGCGATTTTACATCTTCACCTTCGTTTCTGCCTTAAAAACCAAGAACAACTTTCTCTCCTTCCCTGGGAGTTTTGGCTGTAGGGCCCGATCCCTGTAGAATGCAGGATCGGGCCCCAAGAGGAACCTGTTCAGGTGACACACGTCGATTGTGTGGGCGCCCCCGGTGCAGGAGTGAAGGCGGTAAAGAAATCCAGTGTAAACTCGAGGTAAAGAAACCCGAGCAAACCCCACCCGCTCCCATTCCCTTCCAGAGCAGGTTCGCTTGGCCAGATTGTTGCCCCTTTCGAAGCAGGCGAAAAGAGGCCAGGAGGGTGTGTGTGTGGACTTTATGAAGCGGGGGGATTCATTCTGGTTCCCCTGTGCCAGCCGCTAACCCTGTACCATCACCCCGTAGCCTGTTGCATCTCACTGCGGAGATGTCCTCCGAAGTGACCTTTTGCAACCTCGCTGAGGAAATCCCATCAATTGTGGGTGTGTGCGCGCAAATGTTTGTTTTTGCTTTGCCACGGTTGTTGGCCGGCTGCATAACCCCAGCGCTGGGTTGATTCTGATTCTCACACTCACACACCCCAAAGCACTTTTCAGCCACGTGCAAGCCCTAAGATGCAGAGGAGCGACTTTCTCCCCGCGCACCACAAGCGAGAGCAAGGTGTGGGAATAGGACGGGCGATCTGACGCATATTTCAGTGTAACCCCTGGTCTCTGCTCGGGCATTCTCCCCTCTCCTCCGTTTTGTGTCTCTGACGCTATCTGACCGGTCCGCCCAAGTGTCTCCAGGTGACTGGCTCTGTGCAAATGGGAGCTGAGTTAAAATGTCCCACAGTTCCAGGGGGGAGGAGAAGCCATTTTGTGGGCTCCTAATGCCACGCCAAGGTCGGAGATGGAGCCAGATCATTCCATAGCAAGAGAAGTGCTTCCCCCCCCCCCCAAAAAAAGAAACCCTAAAGAAGTCTGTCTTCAGATGGAGCAGTTTCCTTGTGCTAAATTCCTGCCCGCACCCCATTTGCAGCAAGTCAAGTGATGCTCAACTTTTGCATCCTACAGCCAAGGGATTCTCGTCTGTTGCCTCCAGACCTTGGGGCGGAATTCTGGCTAATCAACGTGCGCCGCTGAAATTTAGATTAGGGTTTTTCTCCCCCCCGATCAGGGTAGGAAAAAGATTCTTAGCATACCACGAGGTGGTTAAAGTCCTTCGATTTCGTTTCTTTTTTTTAAAGAACATTTTTCCCTCTGCAAGAAAGAAAAAGACTAAAGTTTAGGGAACCAATTCCGAAAAAAAATCCAGAATGGCTGCATTGTTTCAAAGAAACAATTCATTTGACAAAGTACAGTATCTCTTTGAGGTACCTGCACTATCTGACCGGTTTATAAAGAGCCGCGTTTCTCCTGATCTGTGGGTTTTGTTTAAATCTCTTCCCCCCCCCACACCCACACACACTGTGATGATTAACAAGAAAAGAATTGCACCTTTAAGCAGAACAAGGTGCTGTGCCGGGCGATTTTAGTGCTCGCCAGACTCGAGGGAATTGGTCAGCTGGGTCTTCTGGAGTGTGGCTGTAGGAATCGGGACCAAGCAAAGAAAGAAACTGACGACACCGCGCACTGAATTGAAACGAGGAGAACAAATCATTAAAAGAAGCAGAGGATTTAAAAAAAAACCAATTTTCCTTTCAGTAAAACTAAGTAAAAAAATTATTGAAGATGCAAAAGCTGATGCATCTCTCTCTCTCTCTCTCTCTCTCTCACACACACACACACAAACACACACATATACTTCATGTGATGTGTGTGTTTATCCATATGTGAGCAATATATACTGTGTGTGTGTGTACAATATGTCTGTGTTTATCTCCTTTGGGGGGTATGTGCAAACATAACTATCTGTACCAAGATATATACATCGGAAAATATATCTATCTCCTGTGAGTGTAGACGTGTGTGTGTGTATCTGTGTATACCCCTAGAGAGAGAGACGTGTGTCTGGATATGCTTCTCTGGTTTAATAAGATGCGATCTCTTAATACTAAAAAATAAACGTCTTTTTGACACCATCAGATAGGACAGGCATATTTATGTCATGTGTATGTGTGTTTATTACATGCAATGTGCACCTCTGGGCACTTACAGCGTATTACATATTTTACATTATCACATGCCTATAGCTAATAGCATATGTAATAACAGAATATAAGCAGGTTCTGTATCTTAAAGAATTGCACGCAGCCAATCCTGCCCAAGATGAGCTGATTATGTTAGGAAGTAGTTGAAAAAGCGAGAACTGGATGGTCCTAAGTGGCATATTTGAATTTTAACTTCACTAAAGGAAGAAAAGCTGAATCAAGAGGAAGGGGGAGATATCAATTCTTCAGCGTTTTTGGCTTTCTGCTTGTGTCGTTTTTTTTTTTTCTCTTTAAAAGAGGGATAGAAAATAGATTTCAGACTCAAGGCAAGGATGCGAAATGGATGTTGCCAAAGCACGACCGCTATCAGGAGAAATAACACGTCCAAGCAGAACAGCCGTCCGTGTTGTCTAGTCCTGATATTGTACCAATAGTCACAGATACAAATGTCCCACCGCTGCCTTCGCGCTTGCAAAGTTCAATCAGGGGGAAAGAAAAATACAGTGGCTCAATCCAGCAAGGTCATATTGGTTATTGGAGAGCACCATACAGTCTGGCCATCTTTTGTGTTGCCTACCAAAACAATCCCAAGTTTGAACCCCCCATTGTCTCCCCCACCCAGCTCAGGGTGCAGGAGGAACGAACCAAACTCCTCGCGGCGCAGCTGGGTCCCTTCGAATCCACGCTGAGCAGCCAGAGGCAACTGGGGGGGGGGGGGGGGGGGTTGTGAAAAACCGGCTCTAAGCAAGTGTCTCTTTAAAGAGGTCTAAAGCCACCTTACCAAAGTGAAGGACGGGGGAGAGCAGAGGCTCCAGGGCGGGGTTTCAGCAGGGCTTAGCTCCGAAATGCAAGGGGCTGGTTTCAGCACCCAAGGGAGCAAGCAGAAGGGGAGTAGGTAGGTGCTCAGCCCTTTCAAGCCGCTTCATTTAGGCGCCTAAACAGAAGCTAAGCCCTTTTGACTGGGTCATCTAGTCTGCTAAAGGGACCCCCCACCCTGCCCCCAAAGACCCTAGGTTCCATAAGGGACTCCATGAGTAACTTTCTCATGCGGAAGCATTCCCAGGCCAAATTAGGGCCACATTTCCCCCAACACTGAGAGATTGTTCTAACCTTTACCAGCCCTCTTTTTCTAACGCTTTCCACCCCCCATCCCACGCCCCGCCTTGCAACTACTTTCAGCGCAATGGGGCTAGAAAGGATTTTCTCACCCTTCCCTGCTTGTCCTTGCTCATGGTGGGACAGTCCATCAGCAGGCCTGGGAATACGTGTTCCTGCAATAGGCTTTCAGTCGCTCCCTCATTTTAGAGGGCACACCTAAGACTGCAGTCGTGTTACTTGTGTGTGGTGTCTACCACGCTATAGGCGTGATGTCCGGCATGTGTTTTCTGCAGTTACGCCTCCATCCGAGCCCTGTGGAATCAGTGGAAATCAGAGGGCTGGAAGGGCGTGTATAATCGCTACATATGTGTGGACTTATATACACACACATTACACATTTATTCCTACTATATATACACCTATGTGTGTTCCTAAATACACTACATATATTCTGCCACATAGAAATGTGTGTGTACTTACACCCCTCCCCCCAGAAAGCTAGTTATGCTTTTTATGTGCACAAAACATGCTGCCTATTATGTAGATACCTTCGCTACACAAAACACACACATTTACATACATAGAGGCTGTATTTTAATGACGTAGGTGTATATAAGTGTGGGGGGGGGGCGGGTGCAGTGGGTCGGTGTACACAAACACACACCCATCCATCCCTCTAGAGAGATCTATGCATGTGTGTGTGTATTATATAAAAAGTGAGATAGAGATGCAAAATTTTATATCTAACATCTGTGTCTACATCTATCTATATAGAGATACAGATGTTATATCAAATTTGCATCTCTATCTAGCCTTTATAGATGGATGTATTTATATAAATATTATATGTTTATATACAGATCATGGGACTGTGGCTCACTTTTTAAGGTCCCTTTACGACGCTAAAACGGGGTAAAGGATCTTTAGTGTAACCGAGAATAAGGCCCTACAGCCAGCTGTCTGTGTTTGTGCCTTTAGCTAGCGGTGTATTAACAGATCTGTTCAATGAGCAGTGGCATGTTACATTTTAATACAGTGGATTATAATTGGACCACACTAGAAGGGTAACAGTCTACGGAATAGACTCCGAATCAAGCCAAAGCTTCCATGCATTTAACACATGCAGTTGTGTTAGTCATATTTTAATGACTATTTACCCTGCAGAGGCAGCCCGGTAAGGAGACTGCATTGTCCCCCAGTAAAATACGGGTCCCTTTTTGACTAGGGGAAAGTTACCAAGTTAAAGCTCTCACTGTCTAATCTGATACACAGCAATTGCTTTTAAGGGCAATCAGGACATGGACGTGAATTCTTTACCGTCAGCGATTCCCTGTCAATAAATAGAGGGCTGCCCAGCATTGGCCCTGCTGCGATTTTTCAGAGGATCTGGGGGCAGGGGAAACCCAGGCCTGGTTTCAGACGGGCACAGGCCTTCTCACGCTCCCCACCCCATATGCTTCAGCGTGTGGGGATGGAACTTTTGCAGCATGCGTTTGGGATAGTCAGATTATCTATCTATCTATCTATCTATCTATCTATCTATCTATCTATCTATCTATCTATCTATGCCCATACACCCCCATCTATCTATCTATCTATCTATCTATCTATCTATCTATCTATCTATCTATCTATCTATCTATCTATGCCCATACACCCCCATCTATCTATCTATCTATCTATCTATCTATCTATCTATCTATCTATCTATCTATCTATCTATGCCCATACACCCCCATCTATCTATCTATCTATCTATCTATCTATCTATCTATCTATCTATCTATCTATCTATCTATCTATCCCATACACCCCCATCTATCTATCTATCTATCTATCTATCTATCTATCTATCTATCTATCTATCTATCTATCTATCTATCTATCTATGCCCATACACCCCCATCTATCTATCTAATCTATCTATCTATCTATCTATCTATCTATCTATCTATCTATCTATCTATGCCCATACACCCCCATCTATCTATCTATCTATCTATCTATCTATCTATGCCCATACACCCCCATCTATCTATCTATCTATCTATCTATCTATCTATCTATCTATCTATCTATCTATCTATGCCCATACACCCCCATCTATCTATCTATCTATCTATCTATCTATCTATCTATCTATCTATCTATCTATCCCCATACACCCCCATCTATCTATCTATCTATCTATCTATCTATCTATCCCCATACACCCCCATCTATCTATCTATCTATCTATCTATCTATCTATCTATCTATCTATCTATCTATCTATCTATCTATCCCCATACACCCCCATCTATCTAATGTGGTGTGATATGTATGTGTACATACCACAGAGTTATATATTTGTAACCAATATAAGCTATAGGACTATAGGAGTCCAATGATAAACCACAAAGCAATATTACATATTACTGTAGGAGAACACCTCTATAGAAGTCAATATGTTACGTTAGCTACAGATTTATAATCTTGTATGAACACCTTCCTGTACCTAGCTTTAGCTATTGTGCTGGAATATAGTTTATAAACCACTCCGGTTTTTGTATGCTCTGGGATAATAACTATTGCTGATTAATGTGTCTGTGTATCCATTCATTTATAACAACTGTATAGTTTCTAAAAAGTGAACATGTCTATTTTCCTTTGCTGCTCTGTCGTTTAAATGACTAAACCTTTGGTTTGGTTTGTTTTAAAGATATAATATCAGGTGAGCATAAAACTCCCCAAATATTTCCAAAGGTAAAATAAAGAAACAAAACAAATCTAGATTTACAAATGAAGCTGAAATCTCCAAAGTCTGACGGTTTTCTTTGCAGGAACTGTCTTTATAAACAAACAAAACCAGCCCCGTAGAATAAAGCAAAGACAAGAAACTGGCTGTGCCGGGTTGCAGATCAATCCCCACCCCGGGAGAGCGGTGCCAACATATGATCGTCGTGTAAAGGCAGAAGTCATCACTAATTTTAATTGCTACTTGGGAGTATGGAAGAAATTAAAATCCATTTATTTAGCATAATCTGGTCAAAGAAGCAACCTCCCTCCCTAAAATTCAATCAAATGGCACAGTGGCCTAACAAAGCTGGATTGCTTTGTGCAGGAAAGTAAGTGTGTGTGTGTGTGTGTGATACGTTGTTGAGAATTTGCCAGAAAAAAACGATCGTTGCATATTGCCAAACTCAGTTGCACATGGGCTTTGCAAAAACAAATGGACAAACCCCCAGATCAAAATATGAAATATGTTTCCCTTATAAAAAAGGAAGTGAAATTTCCAGTTTGGAAAAGAATCCCAGAATCGATCTCCTTTAAGGGGATGTCCCATTTCTGTCCATTCACTCTAAGTTAAAAAAACAACAACACACAAACAAACAAGAATGTAGCTCAAGAAGCAATTGGGAAAAGACATAATCTGTTCCACCTGTCTGATGGAATATCGAGAGAGAACATATTACCCTGAGACCTGTTTTCATAGACCTGTTCTGTGGGGACTTTACCTTGCACCTCTGAGCTTTTTAAAGACCTGCCGTTATATTTGTCAACTGTAAACCAGTGGCATCCACAGTTCTCTGAAATTTACGTTGATCTGGGAGGGTGAGATATGCAAGTGGGTAAGGGACTCCAAATAAGGGAAGTCAAATATAATATTCACGTCCTAGCATTGTTGCACGACATGTCATCCCTTATGTGGAGTTAACCTGATGTTCGATTTGTGCTTTTGAGCTGACTGTACCACGTTAGATTCCCTGGTTGCTTCTCCCCTCTCCCGGCAAAATATGAAATTATTTATTGGTAGGAATCGATTCCTGTTTTCCTTTGATTTTCAGGATTTACAGTTCTCCTCCAAAAACATTAACCCAGGTGGGGAAGAACATTTTATTAGGAGTTAGCCATTGCTGTTCTTTAAATGAGATGTGATTTGGGGTTTGTGTGTGTGGGGGGATCCAAATTCAGATTTAATCCATGGACGGGGGGAGGAAGCCAACATACAGTGGATTGTACTTGAATACATTGACACAGCAGTAATAGAAATCTGGGCTAGGCTACCAATCTTTTCCTCCCCATTACACTCTTATGCTGCAAATATATCTACTCACCTTCGATCCCTGTCCAGCCAGTGCCACGGGGACTTGCTGCTAATCTACCCTTATTAAGCAACAAAATCCTGATCCTTTAATAAGCAATCAAATGACCCCTGCTGATAAGATTGCAGGTAACTCTTCGGGGCAATGGCATGCCCAGGAAAGCACACTGAGGGAAGGTGTCTGTACACCCGGAAGGTAAAGGCGTAGTGGTTTGGATTTGTCAAAGAAGCTTGCAGTTGCCTCGAGTCTAATGAAATGGGGGTAAACACTGTCCATGAAGCAGGGTCATCGCATGAACATTCCCTGCCAAGTCTCCCGGGGAGCTAGCCAGGAGGAGACACTGCAGGCTGAGTTTTGTTTATTTCAGACCCTCTCGGAGCTGGGCTCCCGCGATTTTATTTAAGGAGGGTTTTTTGTTTTTTAATTTTATTTTGCAGTGTCCCAAACTGCGGATTGGGGCTGCCTGCCGGGTCGGTGCGTCTGTCTGGGGCTGCAGCAAATCGATGCAACATCACGACGTGGTTATCCCCTGCTTCTTTGCTGCTCTGTCTATTTCACATGGATACCAAACCTCCCCCCCCCCCCCCCCCCCGGGACCTAGGACAGGCAGCGTGGCACCGTTAACTTCTGCCTAATTAGGGGACTACTCAAATAACTCCGTTTAGTGACCCAAAGGATAGCTCCCCCTGCCCTCCCGGACAACGCTCCCGATTTTCCAGCAAGCCCCACTTTGGGCAGTTAAAACCCCGCTGGCTTGTTAAACCGGAGAGCAATCCGCTCCGAATTTAACTGCTTCCTGTTAAAACCAGCAAAAAGCCCTCCAATGCGTTTCTCTCTCCCCTTTCCCTCCCCCCACGTTTCAACTCAGCAGCCGTGCTGTCGTTTTGTGGCATTGCTAAGAAACGCAGCTCGAATTCATCCTGCTCGCCTCCACGGCTGCGGAGCTTGGGTGCCATATTTGCATATATGGTAATGAGCTCCTAATTGCCAGGCTGATGGGCTTTGCTGATCGATTGCTATAAATACACAGGTTAAGAAAGCTTTGCAATATTGCTCCCCTTTCCCCCCTCCCTTCAAAATATCCTTGCAATGTACTAGTTTGAGCTCTCAACATTTGCATATCATCTTTTTTAAA